ATGATAGAGGTGAATGTTGGAACTGCGAGAAAAAAACTTATTTCAAGAAGGACTACAAAACTCCAAAGAAGGCTAATGATGGAGATTAAGACAAAAATCTCTCTATAAATAACTTCACGGACAAAATCCAATGTGACAGCCTAGTTTTATCCCTGACCTAGTAGATTCAGTTGTCGTTTTTCATGCATGCACCAATAAATGTGTAAAAACTACACTCAGAGTGACTACAGAAGTGTATTTAGAAGAAAACAAAGTCAACAGCGTTATCACAAAAGGAAATATTGATATTAGATTGCCAAATGCAACAGTTTGGAAGCTCAATGAAGTTAGACATGTTCCAAGTCTGAAAAAATTTTTGATCTCTGTGAGTCAGCTTGCAAAGTCAGGATATATGACTACTTTCACTTATGGGTGTAAACGAGTTGAACACGAGCGAGACCAGGCTCAGCTCGTGTTCAACTCGTTTATATTTCGAGCTCAAAAAGTGTGTTCATGTTCGGCTCGTTTGCTTAGTGAACACGAGGCGAGTTGAACACGAGCTATTCACGAACAAAGAGTCGTTTTGACAACCCTAACCACATAGGCCTAAGATGTTAAGGGTTGGGGCAAGATTTAAAATTTATTATTTATATTAAAACATTACTTGAATCTAATTTAATAATTTTTATTCTATTTTCTTTATTAATACATTTAATTGATTATAAATCTTTGTAGCTTTGTAGTTAATAATTTTTTTTAAAAATACTACTCATCAATATATATATATATATATATAGAATTGATGAATAGTATTTTGGAGTCAAAACAAGTTGAACATGAAAAAACAATTTTTTTTTTATGTTCGGCTCGTTAACTTAATGAACGTGGAGTCAAAACGAACTGAACATGAAAAAACAATTTTTTTTTATGTTCGGCTCGTTAACTTAATGAACGAGTTGAACACAAGCTTCTTAACGAGCCGAGCACGAGCTGTTCGTGAACAACAAGACGTTTTGACAGCCCTACTTTCACTAGTGATTTATGGAAAGTAACCAAACGGGCAATGATGGCGGTTCGGGGCAACATTGAAAGAATCTTTTACCTGATCAATGAGATGTATGAATCCATTGATGTAGTTGGAATCAAAATTGATACAGGTCTTTAACACCACAGGATTGGCCATACGAGCGAGGAATATATGAATCTCCTATGTTCTGATAACAAGCTTTAAGGCTTGAAGTTTCTGGAGTTAAGGTTTTGTGAAGACAATGTATATAGAAAGCAAAAATAAGTTTCATTCTCCAAAGGCGAGTCAACGGTGAAGTCTCAGAAGCTAGAGTTAGTACATACTGATATATGAGGTCCTACTATAATTCAGTTCATTGGAGATTCTCACTATTTTATCACTTTTATCGGCAATCACGCCAGAAAGGTACGAGTTCAGTTCTTAAAACGTAAATCTGATATATTTGAGGTGTTTAAGAAGTGAAAGATCATGATAGAGAGTTGAAGCATCTCAGATCAAATAATGATGGTGAGCATCGTGATCAAAAGTTCAAAAGTTATGTGCATCAGAGGGGATCAAGCATGAGTTTACCATTCCAATGGCACCACAACAGATGGTGTAGTTGAGAGCAAGAATAGAACCATCATAGAGCATGCTAAGAGTATGAAATTGCATGAATGCTTGCCGAAATAGTTCTTGACAGAAACAGTTACTACAGTTGTTTAGCTAATCAATCGTGATTCGTCAATACCTTTGAAAGAAGACTTACCTGAAGAAGTCTATCTCACTTGAAGATATTTGATTGTTCTACATATGTTAAATATTATTGTAGTTTCTAGGAATAAACTTGATTTGAAATCTATCAAATACACTTTTATTGGGTATGACTCAGATGAATTTGAGTACAAATTATATGATTGTCAAGAAAATGAATGTTACTTTTAAGGAAATGAAGACGTACAAAGACAGGAGCAGAACTCAAGATTGTCCTTCAGTTATTTCTAAAGAGTCCACCAAATATGTTGAGATGGAAGATACTAGTGATCAGGAGAAAGGAAAAAGAAGAAATGTTCAATCTTAAAAAGTACAGAAAGTTCCTCAATCATGTATTATTGAATTCAGGGAGGCCCAACAAAATCATGAAACCTACACAGAGGTATTCTCTTTCTTTATACTATTTATTGCTAACAGATAGTGACAAACCAGAGTACTATGAAGAAGTCACTAAAATTAAAGATTCAAATGAGTGAGATTTGTCATGGATGGCAAGATGCAATCACTGAGGCCAAATCAGACTTTGGATTTGACAGAATTACCAGATGATAAAATAACATTGCATAGCAAATGAGTCTATAAGTTGAAAAAGAAGTCAGATTGTAGCAAATGCTACAAGGCAAGATTTATTATGAAGGGATTTCAACAGAATGAATGAGTGAACTATACTAAAATATTTTCTTCTATAGTGAAGATGACAACTATCAGAATTATACTGAACGTGGTAGTAGGGGAAGATCTACATCTGAAGCAGATGAATGTAAAGACAATCTTCATACATGGTGATCTGGAAGAGGAACTATATATGATGCAACCAGATTGTTATGAGATTCAGGAAAAGAAAACTTGGTTTGCAAGCTAAAGAAGAGTCTTTATGGCTTAAAGCAAGCCCTGAGATAATGAAACGGGAGTTTTGACAGATTCATGTCAGACTGTGAATAGATGAAGCTTCAAGCATAACACTATTGTTTAATTAAAATTTTTTATAATTGTTATATTTTGTTTCTTGTGTATGTGAATAACATGCTGATTGCAGTAATATATATAGAAAAAATCAAGAAGTTGAAGAAATTATAAAGGAAGTTCGAGATAAAAGGATTTAGGTTCAACCAATAATATCATCAGGATGAGCATCAATAGGACATGAGTGAAAATACACTGAAAATGTCTCAGACAAGAGTATGTTGAGAAGATCATTCACAAGTTCAACGTGAGTGAGACAAAACTAATGTACACCTCATTAAGTAGTCACTTCAAGCTCTCCAGAAATTATCACTTAAGTCTGAAGAAGACCAACCACATATGGGGAGAATTTTGCATACTTCAGCAGTTAGAAATTCGATATACGCAATGAGAGTGGTTAGCAGATACATGAAAAATCCAAACAAACATCATTGGGAGGCGATGAAGTGGATTTATCTACGGGTATTATAGATTTAAATCTGACAGGGGATATAAATGATAGAAGAAATACAACAGGGTATATATTCACTTTGCGAAACGCAACAGTGAGTTGGTTTTCACGCTGCAAAAAATTGTTACACTTTCAACTATAAAAACAGAATACATTACTATCACTGAGGCTCACATAGTGTTGATTTGGCTACAAAATTGGATAAGAAACATGAGATTGAAAAGATTCATAGTGACATAATGAATGTTAAACAACTGTCTGAGAATGTCATTTTTCATGTCAGAACAATACATATTCAGTTGAATTATCATTTTATTCATTCTCACCTAGAAGATGGACAATTACACTTCGAGAAGATAAATGCAGCTTGAAATCATGTACAAATGTTGATTAAGATAGTGACTATTGAGAAACGGAAGCTATATTTGACTTTAGTTGGAATCCATGTAAGTTGAGACTGAAGGTCAGCCACACCACGGTACAGAATTATTAAGTTAGTACAGATGAAAGTGCAAATTTGGAGGTGAGGAGTTATGAGCAAATTAGTCTACAAATGGGAGATTGTTGAGTGCAAAGTCCGCTTCTAGGCCAACAACCAACAGTAGCGGAAGAGAAAGGAGAGGGGGGTGCCAAAATCAACGCCCCTATGCCTCACAAGCAGTAGCGGAAGGGAAAGGAGAGGGGGGGGGTGCCAAAATCAACGCCCCTATGCCTCACAATGGGCGCCCCCACGCCTGAGTTCAGAGGGGGCGGCCCTGCGTCTTGGGTTCATAGGGGGCGGCGCCCACACGCCTAGGTCTAGAGGGGGCGGCTCTCCAACACCCATTCAAGTTGCCACTACGCCATTTTTTGTGAATTCAGCTCGAGCGAGCGAAAAGACAACTGCCCGGAGCGACATTACAATGCCAAAATCGATTTGTACGTAGTTTAGAATTTAAGACCTCGTTTCACAAAGGATCATACTCTTAAATGGTCTATGCTCGATGGTATGTAAGAGCAACAAAGTTGAGTGGAGCGAGTCAAGAGTGGATTTCAACAAGCGCTTTCTCTTGTGAAATCAAGAGAAATCAAAGCGTGAATTGCTGTAAGTTCTAACAGTGTAAAAGTGGATCTCAGTGGTGTAATTCAGTATTATTCTCCTTTCCTAGTGAATTTTTGGTGTGGTGTGACTCCATGATTTTTTCCCGTTCTTGAATTTTTCCGCATTAAATTTGTATTTTTTTTCTATTTCTTTGTTGTATTTTTATGTTCCATTTATTGTTCCAGCTATCTTGAATTGGCGTGTTCTTCCGCTGTATGATTCTGATTGTGAATTGATCAAATCTCAGGTTTTGAATCCAAGAATAAATATCTCCATCTTTCCATTGAGGAAAAAATTTGACACATAAGGCCCTTTAAAGCTCTCCATTCTATAGAAGGTTAATGAGGTATAAATAAATAACAAATTAGATTCAAATTTGTTTAAATCCAAAAAATAACAAACTAGTTTGAAACTCTAACTATCCAAACCACCCCTTCTAAAATATTACTAGTAGAGAAAAAAAAATAGGCTCCACAAATTGCTTAAGTTACTCTTTGTCTATCAAAGAGAACATAGTTACAAGCTCACTGCACTGCTTTAACACAAGCAGAGTAACTATCCATTTGGCTTTTTCTACTTTTTTATTTCATTGTTGGAAAAAAAACACTTTGGAAGCAAATAATGCAAATGGATCTTTTATCGTCAAGAAGTTAGAAGGCAAAAATGAAAAAAAACCTACATTACCAAAGGTAAGAAAACTAGGGTAAAAAATCAATTACCAAAGGTAAGAAAATGGCTTCGCATACCTTTCTACTTCGGAGACTACATCGTGGACCTTCTTGTACAATCCTGCTGCCTTGTTGCTAATGCATGGTTAGCAAAAAAAAAGTAAATTTAGAGACTAACAAGTCATATCCAACAATAAAAAAATGCAAAGCTTTAGAAACATCACTATCTACTATCACCATAACAAGAAAAAAGTACACATCTGAAACACATAAAGAGAACTTCAAAGTAAAATGTAAGGATGAAGGTCGCCTCTTAAGCATATTGTCTTGATGTATATTTTGAGCCAGTTCAAGGTGTCAAAAAATGTGATTATAAAATGATCTTGTTCTAGGTAAACAAGTCCTATGGGTTAGGATATCCCCATCATTATTAAGAGAATACATGAACTTGTATGAAATGAAAAAAAAAATTCTTGGTTTGTGAGTTATTCAATTTGAATGATTGAGGATAAAAGGGAACCGAAAAAGAACCCCGGCATTTGGAAGTTACGTTTATTAGTTAAGACCCTCATAAAGCTTTTCTCCGAAGAAAGCTATACTATAATGTAGATACAAAGCTCCCTTGGTGTAAGAAAGGTTTATACAGAAATTAGGTTGTTTGATACAGTATTTCCCCTTAAAAGAAGTAACTCAAAAGGCATAATCTACTCGGATAATGAAAAAAAAAGAAGGAAAGAGGAAGAAGAAGAAATTAAAAAATTATGGTTTATACTTGTTTGATTAAAAAGAAACCTTAAAAAAAACAACTTCAGAAAGCAGAATCAACATGTAAAACACTTGATGCAGCTAAAAGATGAACTCATTCCATGTCGGTTTCACATTACCGCTAGTTTATCATAATAAGCTTGTTTATCAGCTCATTTATTTAGCATTTTAATTTTATTAAGTGGCTTAATGATAGTTAAGCTTATTAGCCTTTATTCTGTTAGTGTGTTGTCCTTTAGTTAAAAAGATAGCAAAGGATGCAAGTGAATGGCAGATTTGATACATTTTTAGTAAAGAAAAAAAAAAAAAAAACCATTTTTGTCCCTTCTCTTGCTCGGATAAATCAATTGGTATTTAAGCACTAATGAAAGATTCTTGTTGAAGTTCAATCAGGGAGGGCTGGCGTAAGTGCTAGATAAGAAATTAGAGGCCGTGGATCAATGCTTACAAGGAAATATATCTCCCATGAATTCATATACAAAAAATGAAATAATAAGCTCATATATTTCTCCATTAGCACCAATCCGCAATTGCTAAAAAAATCAAACGAAAAGATAACTAGGAAAGATTTTTGTGTTTCTTATTATATTTATTTATTCCCCTTTTCTTTCTATGTAATTTGGTGTATAAATACCAATTGAAAAAATGAACAATCCAAACTTTCATAACCACTTCTTTTCTATACAGATGATAATAAACAACCGGTTTATGACGATTATCGCAACTCGGAGCCTGCAAAATGCTCACACTGCCATCAAACAAAGATTAGTTATGTTAACTATGGACTCCTCTTCACTTTTAAAATGAGGTGAGAACTTCTACTCATCTAGAGAGATGGGGTACTCTCTCTGACAGCCACACCAAAAACCCCAGCGCCCAAACCAACAACGAAAAATGATATTGTGGTAAATTAAAACCTAATATGTCACCTAAAAACCAATTAACTAGCTCATCCACAATTTATTGGCTCTGTGATGAACATTTCTCTTGTTGATGGGCAAAGCCCTCCAATTTTAGAGAAAATATTACGTCCGGTTAACTAGAAGTGCAGACAACGGGGTGGTGTGATCCACGTCGTAGTCCGCACATCCGTCATCCGCACATCTGTTGTCCGGACACATTATTTTCTCTCAATTGAACTCTGGCCTTGAAAAACTACCATTGAGAAATGCCCCAAGATGGTATTATCAACAAGACCAGGATCATAGCAATTTTAAGATAAAAAAGGATATCCCTTTGTAACGGCATTTATAAATTGAAGATTATCTTAATTGGAAACAAGTCAGGTTAAGTGTGTCCCAAGCAAATGCATCAATCATGCGCATTAGACCAATTCTATCCCAAGAAAGTAGGCCAATGGAGCTTTTTGGTGAAAAGTTGTCTTAGAAGGCAATGATGGTCCACTCATAAACATGAATTATATGTGATTATTCATCCACCCAAACAAGGTAAGCATTATCTTTAACATCAAAAGTTTGTATTATTTGGTGATCATCAATCGCTTCATTGATTCAAGTCCCAAAAAAAAGTGAAGTTGCATGCATGTTTGATGGGTAATGCTTTTGAAAAATTTAGTTCTAATTTACAACACGATGTCAGATGATATGATGGAGTGGATGGCACTCTCAGTAGAAGATAAATGTTTCTTGTAGTTATGTAAACTACTATCATGGGATTGAAATCACCAAAGAATAAATATGACATGAATCATGAATTCAACAAACCAGAGTCATAAGGCAAAATGCATGCCAAAAATAATGATTATAATATTCAACAATGTTACTTGTTCAAAGATAATCAAGTACATACCCTAGCTGCGTCATCATGTTAACAGCAAATTTAAGAGATGCATGTCAACAACCTTGCAATTCACATAGGGGGGGATAAAACAATAGTACAATAGTACTTCTATAGACACGTTTTTTCTGGCCCGAACTCTGACATGATGTGTCTCACTATGTAAAATGTCTCACATATGCCAAATGCAGAAGGATGTGACACAAAACACTAATACCTACACATATTTGCCAATTCTCGGTTCTACTTAGGAAGACATTAGTCATAAGCTTTCCCTGGGCTTACCAAAAACATAACAAAGTGACGAAGTAGTTATTGTTATCATATACCAATTTTCCAAAATGTCTCACTTTATGCCATGAAAAAACGTATTTGACATCATAGACACAACATGCATTTTTTTCTTTCATGATATTATATAGTTTCACGACAATCTGCACAACATCATTTCTAATCGTGATGTCAACCGTGTTAGCTATTTTCAGTGTAGTCTGTAGAAACATTTTCAAATAAAGCTTAGCTTCAGCTTTTCTTATTACCTTCAAATAGATGGAAAAACTAAAGTAATAAATCGGTATTCTTGGAAATATAACTAAACATCTAGTTGGTAACCACCCAAAATAGTGGGATGAAGTCCATTTGGTATTGTCATATATATATATATATATATATATTAGGTTCATTTTTATTTATTTCATATTTATTTAATTTATTAGTTTAGTATATATGATTTGAGTCTATATATATATATATATATATATATATATATATATAAAAAAAAAATATTAATAAAAATAAATATGAAATAAATAAAAATGAACCTAATATTATAATAATGAAAAAATATAAATATAATCATATTATTCATAAATCAAGACAGCAAATAAAAAATAAAAAATATGAAAAATATAAGTATAATAGAAAGTAACAAATTATCAAAATTTAATAAAAACTAACGAAATATGATCTTCAGTATTTTTTTATACTATTGAATAAAAAAATAAATAAGAGTTATTTGGGCATAATATAAATTATCAAAATCTAATAATTTATTATGCATTTTATTAATATTTATAAAATTAAGTTTTAATTTTTAAGGACACGTGGGTCTGAATTTTTTTTTTTTAAAGTTGGATGTGTTAAGCATGTGCGGAAGCGTGTCACACACATCTTCATGTCTAACGAACACTGCACTTCTGTCTATAGTGAAGCGGCAATACATCATAGACACTAAAGTCCCCAATGATAACACGTACCTCACCATCATTTCAAAGCCTTAAAAATTTAGCAACTACAAAGATGGCCATTTAATTTGATGCGATGCATATCAAAACTAAAAGGAAGGTTAAAGATAGTGCACAATGAAGAGGACTTGGTTATGATCTCCTTCTCAAGTAATGATTTTCTACTAGTAAATACTAAAAACTCATGCCACAAAAATTAGTTTCGTTTCCAACCACTGCCAGAATCAATCAAAACTCTCATGTCGTCATCCGTCCATCGAAATTAAACATCTTCCACAATTAATGTTGCTATATATAATATAATGGGTCTACAAAGCTACATGAATTCCTGTTGAATTCTTCTAAAGTGGGAGAAAATAAATGCAACTACATGAACTCGTTTCCTACTCTCTATTTCGTACTAATACCAATTTATCTTAATCCACTTGTTTGGCTTGTTTTTTCTCTTTTAACTTCTATTAGGTGGCTTGATGATAATTAAGCTCGTTAAAATTTATTCCATTAGCACCTCCCCATTTACTTAGATAAATAATAAAGGATGCAAGCAGATGGAAGCTTTTGATACTCTAGTAAGAAAATCAAAATTAAAAAAATTCAAATTCCTCCTTGCTCGGCTACACCAGTGCTACATCTACAAAGTTCAAGGTCTGCCTTTTGTTTAAAAGAAACTATGAAAAATGCTCTCAAAAAGGAGAAGAATGCAAATATGTTCAGCATTGTTTTGCTTGTTTGTTAGAAGCCCCGCCTAGAACTTATCAGGTGGAGATACAACACTACATTGACTGCTAAAGAACACCTCTATTCACCTATGCTTCTATTAGTTAACAGAAAAGAAGAAAACAGGGTTTTCCAACCATTGATTTACTTTATTTTCGTTTCAATGCACAAACCCACTCATCCTCAAAATCTGTAAGTATAAGAAGTTCAATGGATGGATACCTTAAGCCTAAGCTTCAATTCATCAAATTCTTTATCTGAAAGAATCGGATTTCCCGACACATAAGCCATCGACGCTTCCAGGAACCTTTGCTCATCGGAGGCTGCTCAAAAAGAAGTTGTGAAAATCCAAGCCAATATAACAACTCAAAAATTCTTCAAGAAATGCAAGAGCAAGAAAAAGATTGACGCACAGAGGGAATATAAGACATACACAACATGACTACGCTGCTTCCCTCCCACATCAATTCTTCCTTGAGGTTATCAAATTCCTCATTTGACATAATGGCTTCATTATCATAATAGAACGCCTGAAAAGAAAAGGAACGGTAAGACGATTTATAAAAGAAACATCTGCGAAATTAGAACAAAAGAGAATTTAATATAAAAAACCTGCAGTGCTTGCAGAAACTCTTGCTCCATCTCCCCTATTGTCCTCTTCTCCGCTTTCTTGCTTACGCTGCAATACTGCAAAATTTTGCCATCAACGACTTCATCACCTTGGACCTGACCTGCATTCGAAAACACACAAACCATTCATAAGGAGATACCAATAAATCATGTTTAAGATGATAAATAGGTTCCAAATCCGCAACCTTGCTGTTCTGCGGCTCTAGGGTGCAGACGGAACAGCTTACGGCGCTTCCTGTGGTGAGAGCGAAAAGTAAGGTTTGGTGAACACTGTCGAGTGGAGGAGCGGAGAGTACGTGAGGGGAGAGTGGGAAGAAGGGGGCGAGCAGCATAGCGATGGGAGAGTGAAGGCAGCAGCCAGACTTCAGAGGCCATTTTCAAGACTACAGGCGGCGGCAGTCCGATCACTGAACTTGAGCTTGAAGAGATGCGCGGTTCTGTGATACGGAGATAAACTGGAGAGCAATGTGTGGTCGGGATTGGAGAAATCGAAATCTCTGGCGATTGATTTCGCCTCGCTTGCTTTTCTTGCGCACCACAACTTTGATTCAACTATTCCGTTGGATGCGTCTTCTCGCGGATAAATTTAAAAAATGAAATTTTTACAAAATTTAATATTAAGAAATAAGAAATTAAGCACTGAGAGTAGTCTCATAAAATGAGAATTCCAATCAAGTATATGGCTCTTTGGACGCGTCTTTAAAAAAAAAAAAATACTAAAATAGGTCGCTGTACTATGTGCTAACTAGAGGGGTAAACAATCCCAACACGAAAACGAACGAACACAGCTCGTGTTCGTATTCAGTTCGTTTGAAATTATATGTGTTTGAAATAGTCTCGTGTTTGAAATTGTTCGTAAAGTTACCGTTCGTGTTTGTTTGATTTGTTTGAAATATGTTTGAAATGTTTGAATTGTTCGAATTATTCGAAATCTTACAAATTTGTTTGTTTTGTTTGAATTGTTCAAAATATTTCAAAAGCTTAAACCTATATAAAATTAATGTTTAAACTTGCATGAATCACATATATGAATCGCTGCACAAATGCAAAATAGTTGAAACACAGCTCACAATAAAATTATAATATCATGTCCCGTCCATAAAAAATTCAAATCTAGAGACAATATGCAAGATTTCACTCCCAAAAACTTTGTTTCACTCAAAGAAACTAAATAAATCTAAAAATATATGTAAAAAAATTTAAGCTAAGAGACAAACCTGAAGATAAATACGAAATTATTGAATATAATATAAGCTAAGAAGCGAACCTGAAGATCAAATTATAATTTATATGATTTAATTTTTTTTAAATATGATGAATTTTATTTAAAAAAGTATTACTTTTAAATAATGATAAATTTGTTATATATAATTATTTTATATTTCGAACAATAATGATTCAAACACGATCGAACAAATGATTGTTTTTGTTTGGTTCGTTTATAAACCAAACGAAAAAAATTTGTTCGTGTTCGTCTCGTTTGTTTATCAAACGAATTGAACACAAACTCCCTGACGAGCCAAACACAAACTGCTTGAGAACAACGAGCTTTTTTGATAGCCTAAGTGCTAACACACTGCATCGCGTGACTAAGCACTTTTGAACATAAAATTTCATGAGAGCTATTATGTGATGTCACGTGGCACTACCGACGATCATAAATCCATTGATTTTATTTTATTTTATTATCCTTTTATTTTTTAATTTTATATTTGTAAAATAACTATTTTTATTGTTTTTTTAATTTTTTAAAGCATATTAGATTCAATATATTAGCATTAAAAAAATCAATAAAATGCATTGAGTTATATTTAAGTAAATATTTATGTAGATTTTGAGTTTTAGATATGCTAACCCAACCTATTTGACCAACATACACCTCAAATTTAAGCTTTTATGCATTTCAAGTTTTTTTTTGTGGGGTTTGGACTTGTATATGCGTATGCCAAATAAAAATTTTAATAAAGAAATTTATAAAAACAAATTAAAAATATTTTTTTATAGATTCAATAATAAAAAATGACAAATTAAAAAACATTACAAAATCTATGAACTCGTCATCCTACATGGTGTTACGTGGCGACTCCCAGTGAAGTCGACCATTGGAACAACGACTAACATTCAAGCATAATTTAAAATGCTCTTTTATGTTTTGAATAAGATATGAATAAGAATCGAGCATTAAATATATCAGACTACATTTTTGTTCTTTTATCATTGATATAACGCACCAAACATCACTACCGTAGAGATGCAAATAATATACATTATATTTCTAGATAATAAGTATTACGAGATTGAGGTTAGAAGAATGTTAGTCCCAATACGATACAATCATTAGTCAACCATGGCTCAATGGTGATTCAAAGAAAGTTCAATCACAATACAAAATTACCTGATCATGGTTTAAATATACTTGATCGCACTTTGTTCATTGTTCAATAAAATATTTCTTTGATTCAAAAAATTATATGCAATCAAGTGCAACATCCATAATTTTTTTCTTGAAATCAGATACATCATTTGTTGTATGGCTTCCACTTTACATTTATCATCATAAAAATAATGTAATTGAATCATGATTCAACATGCAAGGAGAACTTAAATAAGTTATATTTTCTTAAAATATGAATGCAGCCTTTGAAACCTCTTTGATGGTGGCCGTTTTCCACATCCACAAAGATTTATGGGGGATAAGTACATTTATTTGGACAAAAATCTTGATAGCCCAAGCAAAAAAGTCATATAATATCAAGAATTTTGTATTAAATGGGATCCAACAAATAAGTTAATGAACTTTATTACAATTACTTGAAAAAAAAATATGATTCTCACGTCAATCCATGACTTTAGGTATTAATATTTATCTCCAATGCCATATCTGAGTGCCGCTTAGGTCACTTGAAGTAGTATTTTTTTTTTTTTAATAGCCTTCTAAAAAGTGGTAGTTGCTAGTTCGTAATATCAATGAATTTTTTCATTCAAGGCAATTATGTTAGAACCATAGTGTTTCTATTTCTTTTTCTTTTTATTTTTTAAGAAGTTGTCAGTTTGTCTGTCTTCGTATAATTCCTTTTTCTGAATAAGTCTATCTTCCGGATCATAACATCTTATGATCTAGAAAATAAAGAAATCAGAAAAGCGAGGACATACAACAAAGAAGACAGACAAAAAGAAAAAAAATGGAGAGTCTGTTTGTGATAAACCTAGCAAGGATAAGTCGAGTATGTCCGCCTAAACAAGATCGGACGGAGGCACTTTGGACCAACATCCGCGAAAGAATACCTACTTAGGTTACACATATCTAGATATTTTTGTGTGTTTGCTTGTTATGTGGTCCAAAGTGCTCCCAAGGGGATGTTTCACACTTGATATATTACATCTTAGAAGTTACCCAAGAATATTTTTGATCCAACAGAGTTTTGCTTACATTAATAGTGATAAGCAGCACAAGGCTATCAAAAGACAGTTATTTCACATAAGAATACTCTAATTTTTTCAAAGCTCCCGTTAAGCCACGGGGGAGAGAGTGAGTCTTTCACAGTCCCCACATGAGTAACAGATTCATTAGCAGATTGAGCCTGTGCAATAACCAAATCATTTTGACGGAGAACCCCAATACGTCAAAACACATCCAGGTGATAAAGGCAGAGAATAAATCTTCATATCACTAACGGGCGGCGGCTCATTGGTAATTCCCAAGCCAAATGATATTTAAAGGAAGAGATAAATAATTACTAAGAGGTAGAGGTAGCCTTATCGGGGTACCATGGATACGTCATCCCAAGCTACTAAGACCTTAAGTCTACATGCTCATGAAGATAGTCGACACAACACGTCCTAAGATCTCCGGTCAGCAATCTGTGAATTTCATTATTAATAGGAACCTCGGTAGCTCTGAGGTTAAAGGAACATAACTCTATCATATAACTATCAAGAGTGACTCCAAGAGGTGAGACTTATAAGCACTAAAGTGTTGAAGATGCTGGTAAAAAAAGAAAGAGAAAGGGAGGGTCAACTACAAAGCTTGAAACACTCCAACAAAGGATCTACATTTCGTCTTGGTCAAGGAGCCTTCTAACGACCTAAGCAGACTAGACAACCATCTATTTAGAAATCTATGTTAGGTCAGTCAGTTGGAGAAGCACGAGGGGGCTTCTCCTCGGGACATGCATATTATGTTGTTATTTATTCAAGTCCTAAGCATGGAGGCCCTACTAGTATGATTTAGGATATGTCCATGCTATGCAACCCATTTTAAAATTGACCCAAAGGCCATGAAGGAAAGTAGAAAACAACTTTTGAAAAATCTCAAGTACTTTATTCCTAAATTTTAATTTATATTGAATTTTTCTTTGAAGATTTTTGTAAAAAAATTTTTAACCTTAATGTCCCAAAGAGCCTAAATTCCAATTTTGTGGCATCCCAAACACGTTCAGAAAGAAACAAGAGAAACAACTCAACATGCAATCACGCGGGAAGATTAGTAGAACAAGCCTAATGAAATAATAAAAAAAAAATCGGTGTCGCTGGGTCGGTGACATATCCCAGAAAATAAAGGTGGTCGGGTTTCACATATACATGTCTGGTCCTAATTTTATACATAAATAAAATTTAGAATTAAGGTACGGGACATGAGCAAATAGCACCTGGTCCCCGTCATGTAATTCTGCATGTCTGGCACATCGGAACTCGCGCCCATTCTTTATTTCTAATACAAACTCTTTTTATGACTCTAAAAAGTACATCAGAAAAAAAAAGGAATCGACCTGCACAATGACAATGTTAGCGGGAAAGACAAACAAGCATGCAACGTGTCTGGGTCATGCCTGATGGGGGAGTTGCACTGCGCCAAGGAAAAATGGTTAGTAATAATCATTACATTGCTCCCCTCCCTTTTTTATTATACATGTGTGTGTGCAAATATATTGCATGGACCCTTGCAAAAGATTGTCCTAATATATTACCATGCATATACAAAAAGTAAACACACGAGCACATTAAAAGCACAAAATGACGCCTAGTTAGGGCAAACACATCAGCACAAAGCAACTACCAGGTCACCAAAAAAAACTACTTAGCATCCTAATCATTAGCCTAGCACAGCATCAAACATAAGTGTCCTAACACAACTTCTAAATGAGTGCAGGGGTTATGTTAAAATACTGATGTTTGTTTTGATGGAGTTGCCACCACCGGCCCCATTCTAAGGATCTTAGGACTCAAGTTCTGTAAAACTTTGAAAAAAAAAATTTAAAGGCGACCTTACATATGGTCTAAAGTAGGTATACAAATAATTTCAAAATATTTATTGAAAATGATGATGCATAAATTAATTAAAATATATAATAATTTTATATATTTAAAATATGTCTAATAAAAGGAAAAACCTAAGTGGCACATATTAGATTCCTTACAACCGTAGCACAACATATGCATACTGGTCCATGATGTTATATCTACTATTGCCCACCGAGACATCCTCGTGGGCAATACTAACCGCCACTTCATAGGCAATGGAGGGTCACCCAACTAGCAAGCTAGCTTCGTCGTCAAGACAATCAAAGAATGCACATGCAAATGCGATAGATCTAAGATGATGTGATCTTCCTAGCAGAGTAGGAACGATCGAGAAAGAGCTAAACATTCGCCACTAACATATGAAAGCATATACTAATAGAGAATGAGTCATGAAGTGGAATGATGCATGAAAAACATACAATACAAGTGCGAAAGAGCGTGTCACAGAGACAACGACCCGGAGGGTTGGTGTGTCATAGAGGCAATGGCTCGTAGGGCGGGTGCTCCATGGAGGCAGCAGTCCGGAGGGTGGGTGTGTCATGAAGGCAGTGGCTCAGAGGGGTAGATGTATTGTGGAGACAATGCCTCGAAAGGTGGGTGTGTCTAGAGGCAGTGATATGGAGGTTGGGTGTGTCATGGCGGCGGTAGGTATGATTCTTGTTAGAGAAGAAACTCACAATTGATGGGTTTGATGTGACATGTGGATGTCAAAATGAGTGTGCGTGAACAGTGACTCAAGCAAACTCAACTATGCAGGTCATGATCACGCAGGATGTCACGCAAAGGAAAACAAGTGAGGGGATACAAGTGTGAGTGCAAACACTAATGACGTGGGGCACAGTGACGAGAAGATTTTACGTAGCAAGTTTGTTGAGTGATATGTCTGTGGGAGGCACGAGCACTCGTTGAGAGCATATGAGGGTATATGCTCATAAGTGCACAACAAGGTGTGAATGTGAATGTGCTAATGCAGACAATGTGAACAAAACATGCAATGATGCAACATTCAACATAAACGGTCGATCAAATTGATTAGGTCGGTGGGGCCACTCCGACGAGTCGACGAGAAGGATCAAACTATCAGATCGGGTAGGTGGCAACCAGTTTTTTGAGTCAAAAAAATACTCAATTGGGCTAGCGTGGGCGGTCGATTGATGGGGAATGGTCGGTCAACCCATCAGCAGGTGGTGGTCGATCGGTCGAGCTGACAGAAAGGGTTGATCGATTTGATCGAGCTCATGATGGCCCATTGTTGATTAGACGAAGGTAGTCTGACAAGTTGGCCCGGGTAGCCAATTAATGAAGAAGGGTCGATCGGACCAATTAGGCCGATGGCGGTCAATCAGTGAGCCGGTAAAAAATGGTCCATCAAATTGATCAAACCGATGGCGGCCTATCATTCAAATCAAAGAAGGTGGTCGGTCAGGCTGACACGGATGGACGATCGACGGAGAAGGGTTGGTCAAACCGATCAGACCGGTGGCGGTTAATGGGTCGAGCCAACGTAAAATGGTCGATTAAATTGATAAGTTCAGTGGTAGCCAATCATTCGAATCGACTAAGGTGGTCGGTGGGGCCGACGTGGGTCGGTCAGACCGATGACGATCGATCAATTGAACTTATGAAAAGAAAGCATGCAAAAATGATATTTTGATGCAATTTAAAAATTCATACAATGCACTCAACCAAAAAATGAACAGATGCATAAAATGGAGGTATGATCAGGATAGAAAACAAAGGCAAGGGTGTTCTAACGACCTCATGAGTTTTATTGAGGTAAAAGTAATGGAACGAAGTGGGCGTCGGTACATAGCGACGACAGTCACCTCCGTTTGCCCAACATGAAGAAATTTCGTGTGGAAAAGTCTTCGCGGCGTAGGGAACATCAAATTCATGGGACTTTCCATTCTGTACATCCAAATTGACGAATTTCGCTCTCCTCTATTGTGGAAATGAATTCGCCGGCGCAAATGCGGGGTTACAAAGACCCCAGACGTTGGGATTTTGTGTTAGAAATGAAAAGGGATAGGTTTTTTTTTCGTGGATTCACGAGGAATCACAAAGGCTCCCTAATCCTATGGAGTTTCTTCTAAGAAAGAAACGACTACTCAATAGTTGTGTGGCCGTGTTGACTAGTGTCGGACGACCAACTTGCCTAACGCGAGCGACCGAATCCACAACGACATCTCAAATTTGGTCAATCAAATGGCTTATGGACGGATCAATCAACATCATTCAGCCAATTGAATAGCCCGATAACGAGAAATTGATTGAGCAATTGAATAGCCCACCACTAAAACTTAAATCCTTAGACTTAAACTGAAATTCAAACATAAAAGATTTAATAAAAACTCACCACACAATTAAGCAGGAACTATACCTTCCTACCTAAAACCACATAAATATACCTAACACCAATAAAAGTTATGCAAATGAAGTAATGAAGAACAAATAAAATAAAACCAACAAATGATTATCCATTAAGATAAGGACTTCATGAAACTTGCTTTGATATATATCACTGCAAAAACCTACCCTTTAACAGCAAATATCACATTTATCAAGATGAGGCATATAGTTGTATCACGCTTTTTATTAATTGTTTGTTATGGCATATCCAGTTGCACTTATTACTTGTCATGCACATCAGCAAGTTATTTCTTTTCTACATCTACAAATACAAGTGAATGACAAATTTCTTTGCTGTGTATGATTGGTAATGCTGAATGAGTTCAGGAAATCAGTCAGAAAATCACTTAGAATAAAATTTCTGGATGTTGAAATATAAACTTGGTTTTAGTTGTTTAAATAAAGCTTAATTTCTATAAGCTTATTCTAGAATATGTGGTAGGTATGAAATTATTGTGTAGTAGGTGTGGTAGGTGTGGTAGGTGTTGAATTATTGTGTGGTAGGTGGAGAATTATTTGTAACCATTGGATTGTAATTGTGGTGGCACATTAATTTAGGAGGTGCCACTAGTATAAATAGGGGTGAAGTCTTTGAGTTTGTATCAAGCAAAGTTAAAGTGATAAATAAGAGTGAAACTTCTTCCATAAGTTATTTTTTTAGCCTTTATCATTTCCTAAAAGCTTTTCTATTCCAACAAAAGTGATATCAGAGACTAAAGGTTCCATTACAGAGCAATGACAAACGGTGGCATGGTTTCGTTCCAAGTCCCGATGCTTAAGGAAAGCATCTACGACAATTGGAGTATCAAGATGAAGGCACTCCTTGGAGCGCATGACGTTTGGGAGGTTGTGGAGAAAAGCTACGATGAGCCAAGTGATGAGTCTATTCTATCCACAACACAAAAGGATAGCTTACGAGACTTGCGAAAGAGAGACAAGAAGGCTCTCTTCCTCATCTATCAAGCTTTAGATGAAGATGGTTTTGAGAAGATCTCAAGTGCTACTTCGGCCAAACTAGCATGGAAGAAGCTCGAGGTTTCATATAAGGGAGAAGAGAAGGTTAAAAAGATACGACTTCAAACTTTAAGAAGTCAATTTGATGTTTTGCATATGAAAGAAGGCGAGTTGGTCTCCGATTACTTTTCTAGAGTCATTACCATTTCCAATCAACTAAAAAGAAATGGTGAGAAGTTAGAAGATGTGGCTATCATGGAAAAGATTCTCCGATCGTTAGATTCAAAATTTGATAGTATCACAACCATTATCGAAGAGACGAAGGACTTACAAGCCATGACGATAAAGCAACTTCTAGTTTCATTGCAAGCCCATGAAGAAAAGAAGAAGATGAATGAAGAGATTGCCGAACAACTTCTCAAGACGAATCTCCAACAAACTCAGAAAGAAGAAAGCTTCAACAACATTAGAAGCCAACATGAAAGAGGTAGTGGACAAGGACGAGGTCATGCTAGCAAGCAAGGATGGAGTACCAACAATAACTATGAGAAAGGAGAAAGATCTACAAAAGGACGTGGTCAGGGCACTCAAACTCGAGGTATGATAAATCTCAAATTAAGTGCTATAATTGTAACAAGTTCGGGCATTATGCGAAAGAATGTAGAGCACCAAAGTACAAAGTGAATGAAAGAGTCAACTACATTAAAGAAAAAAGAGAAGAAGATGGCACTCTACTTCTA